CACCTCCTCTTCTTCTGACTCCTCCTCATCATCGCTGTCTCCTTCAAAGGAGACACGTCTCCGTTTGCCTTCGCGGGATTTTCTTTCAGAATTTTGCATGTTCTCTYTCGCCTTCCGAGTTGTCTTCCCGGTGTTCTCTTGCCGTTGCGCTTGCTTTTCCTTGTACGCCCATGGTCTTTGCATACCTTTCCACATATTCAGGTTTAYGTGAGGTATTATGTCCCTGTTGTACTTCGCACCTTCTTTTTCTTCAAACTTATCGATACATTCTTTCAAACTTCATTCTCTCGAATAATTTTTCATCCTCCAAGACCACGTTCTAACCACATGATCAAATKTTTTTTCGCCCCTCTCTCGCAGAGTGTTTGTGTCGTTCGTTTGTACACCTAGCTTCGCCAATTCCCTTTCAGCAACAACTATGGCAGTGCTTTGCGCGACGTACGAATCCGGCCGCAAACAAAGTGTTGGATGCACGAAAACAAACCCTTTTTTCACCAACTCCGCGCAAACATCTAAAGGAAATTTTTTCCCTCTCAGCACATTCACATCTGCGACAATCATCCCAAACCCGTCATCGTAATACGTATCCAGATACACTTCCGCACCTTCTGCTCCTATGAATCCCGTGTCCTTTATAATCCTCATCAGAAGTTAGTGCACATGACTGTATTGTTCTTTTTCTATTCCATCGATGTGTGTCATCCGCACGCGAACACTCCTCTCCCGCATTTCGTCTGGCAATCTAGGATGTTTCTTACGACAGTTCGTGCATCCATCCTCGGTAACGTTCGTAGATTTAAGTTTCACCACAACGTCGTCTAAATCCGTGATTGCTACCAACTCCCCGCAAGCGCCGACGGGAACCGAGCATGGGAAGTTTGGGCACACACCGTGCCCTTTTATGGCTACACCGGTGGCCTCTATCATCTGCCTCAAATCCAAGGGCATTACATCCCATGGATCCTCCTGACCCGCAGTCAACTTGTGAACTTCACATGCAATTTTCTTACATATTCCTCGTCTATCGCTAACGGTTATTCCTTTCCCGTTTGCCACGTGGAAGTCGTGCGACGCAAGTACAGGTGTCTGCTGCACAATTTGAACACTACCAAGGTTTTCCAAATGCTTTTCAAAGCATCCATCCTCGTCGCTACCATCTCCTCCCCGCCAACACGGTCCGCCTCCAATCCTTCTATGAACGCTTTTGCACCTTGAGGGCTTTTATCCTCCAACCATACCCTCCACGAAACGTAAGGGGAACCATTTCTTCCCTCGTTCAACTTCTTTTTTATATAATAAGCAAACCTTCCTTGCTCCATACAGTTCATTTCTTTGACTATCTCCGGCGTTGCCACCATCTGTCTCCATCCGTGCGAGTAACGGTCTACATTACCTATCAGTTTCGTAATGGATGCCTCTCTGTTGACTGCTGCAACTATCTCTGGGTTCGTCGACCTCCCTAACATGTTGTATATATGCGGTTTCCAAATCACTGTGTATTATTTCAGTGTCGGGCATGAACCATCTTCTATGCCTGCAGCCAGGGTTGTCGAGCCCCGGCCCCGGGGCCCCGGCGGGGTTCCGGGGTTCCGGGG